ATGGGGACATTCACTCTAGGTAAATATGTGATGGAACTCGGGGTGGGATTCAGCCGGTACGGACCGGTTCAGGTGAACCGGTAGTTCCGGCGATTAGTAGGGCCCTGCCCTACTCACACACACACACACACACACACCTGCCCTAGTTTGTTTGTTTTGAAACCCTACGGGCACAGTGGGTTGGTGCGCCTCAGCTGTTTTACTCACCAGGGCTGCAGCAGAAGGTAAGTTGTAGCTGGAAATGGCTGTTTTTAAAACGCTGCAAAGTACGGGCTCAACGAACCGGTTGTTACTCCAGTTGAATCCCACCACTGGATGGAACGTAGAAAGGAGCTGGATTCCCAGGAGGGAGGGGCTGAATTTCAGAGGAATAAAGAGACAACTCTGTATGATGTTAAGTGTGAGGGAAAAGATGGTGAGGACAAAGCCTCCCTAATAGTTCTCAGCCTACATGGTAATTGCAGATAGTAGAGCGCTTAGCCTGGCAAGATTTTTTTTCTTGGTATGAAACAATAATAAAGTCAGTTTGGAAGAATCATCACATGTCATTCTTGATTTTGGATCTGACAACACTAAGGCGAAGGACACAGTCCATCATCATGTATGCAATGCAGGTATCTTGGACACCAAGTCATGAATATTTGCTGCTTCCTGTTTCAAGATGATAGGACTGGGTTCTTTTCTTGCCTTTTGCAACCCAAACACCCGCCTCTTAATCTCTTTGCACACATGAAAGACAATATATATTTTAAATATTTCCTCGCCCCCCCCCCCCCCCCTCCAATTTTCCAGTTAAAAACAAACTGCTATTGCATTTGTTCTCTGTTGAGGCAGATACAATCACCAGCTTCCCTTTACCTTTCTGTTGCTCTGGTTGTTCTTTCCCATTAAGCAACCTTGGTTGAATTATTTATCAGAGGCACAAGAAAAACTATCAGGCTGCCCCCTTCTTGAAACATCAGCAGAGGCAAAATATGGTAGGGGGAATTCTGGAGCAACAAAGAAGTCCTGTTGTACAAGGCAGATCGTGCAAAACAAAAAAAGAACCTCAGAAAAGGAAGCTTCAGGAGAAGTTTAAGGTGATTAGAAGATCAAAGAATGGTAGGTATTGAACCTCAGGAAAATTCCCATCTGAATCAAGTCACAGAGGCAAAAGCCATTCTAACCATCTGCTAGAAATTGGGGAATATATAAGGCAGAAAATAGCTCCTCTGAATTGAGAAGGCAGGCTGTGGGCATATATTACTTGAAAGCTCTATTGATAATCTTCAAGTTATAATCATAATGGAGCCTACTCATTATATTTGTAAATTGTCATGGTCATAAAATGACTGACTTGATTTTACAACATTTTTTTTCAGCAGTCATTAAGCGAGTGTGATGGTTGTACAATGCAAATATTTTGTTCAATATGAGCATGGTTTTGTTGAAAACCAGAAGTGCCAGTTTTGATCCAAGTTTATGCCTGTCAGTCTATCTTTTTTAAAACTTTTTTTATTTACCCATCTGTCAGTCTCAGAAGAAACATGCAGTTCACAATATTCTTTTCACGGGGAAGCAGGGGAAAGGAGACTAGACTTAAGATTGTATTCACCAAACTCTGAGAAACTCTTGCAGTGTTAAATAGCATCCCCCATGCATTGTTTATGTTCTATGAAGCGCGTGGTTTACTGCCTCCCAATTTCAGAAACACAGAGATTATTTCCCAGGGTCATGCTATCAAAGCTTTGCTTGATTTGGCTGTGCATTTATGCTTTTCTGTCTTGCCATTTTTTAAAAAAAGAAATCATTCACATTCTCACAGCTTGTTTCTTAAAAGGTGGCTCAATGTATTTTACCCATATTACCACTTTACAAATCTACCACTGTAATCTAATTATAATTATATTGGCGCAGGAATTTAAACTGTTTTCATGTGCTAAATTGACAAAAGATGTGTAAGAAATTAGTTTATTTATATTTTAATCCAGTGTTTCTCAACCTTAGCAACTTTAAGACATGTGGAGCAACTTCAACTCCCAGAATTCTCAACCTTAGCAACTTTAAGACATGTGGAGCAACCTCAACTCCCAGAATTCCACACCAGTGTGAAATCCATGTGTCTTAAATGGAAGACATTGTTAAATTCAAAGATGCTGAACATTTCCCCACATGATATGGATTGACTGATCTGATTTCATTCTGATAACATTTGATTGAAACCATGTTCAGATGGAACAAATTAAGAGCTCGAAAATCAAGAAAATATTTTACTCTAGGCTTTAATGGGACACATCCAAATGCCTGCAAGTTTATTTTTATTTTATGTAGAAATAGATAAAAGTAGGAGAAACAACCAATGCTTTGAGGATCTGATCTCTGCAAAATTTCAGCCATAGGGCCACAAATTTCACTTTGATAAAGTCTTGAATTATTCCATCTGCCTGAGATAGTTTCCAGATTGTCCAACAAACAGCCTATAAAATAAAAATATACATAAAAGTATTGTTTGTAGATTGAAAATGTATCAAATACTCTATTGTCTTAACAGACATTTCTCAGACTTTTTAAAGGTTGCAAAACAGCACATAATACATCATTAGCCAAAGAAGCTACCTTTTCCTAACTGTGCTGCTTGTTCAGAAAGGCAGTTGGCAACAGGGTAGTGCATTCCTTGAACTTTACTAATAGTTTACTTTCAATATTAGAAGGTTGTTGTTGTTTTTTTAAAAATGCAGGCTACTTTTTGGATTGTTCAGAGAAAAACTTTTATTATTTGTGTATGTACCTGCCCTGTGTGAACTGTTCCTGAAATGCTACAATTTTCCCATGGAAAGTCCAACCTGTACCGTTAATTGCTTCCTGTTTTGGAACATTCACTTCCAAACTAACTTCATATCTGCCTTTCTGTAGGGAAAAAACACTACAGCCTGATGAAAAGATTATATTACGTGCACTGAACTAATAGCAAGCACACTCTCTGAGAACCACTCACCCTGTGAATAAATTTGAGTCACTCTTTCCTAACAAATATACTGCCTAATCAGGTTCTAGCAGAAGAGTGAGATCTTTCTCAATTTTGGCAGGTTTAATATATGTAGAGTTCAACTGATAGGCAGGATTTGGAGAGAAAATATATTAAAAAGCTGATCTTAGTATAAACTCAGTCTTCAATTTTTAGGCATGCATTGTAGAAAATGTTCAACTCTGAATTGTCACAAATCAGGAATCTGGTGGCACCATCTCCAATAATAACAACTTCTTCTTCTTCTTCTTCTTCTTCTTCTTCTTCTTCTTCTTCTTCT